ATCGCCATTTGTGCGCTCTCTCTCCTCTCTCTCTCTCTCTTTCTCTCTCTAAAATAACTGAAACGGACGTTGTAACGAGAGCAGCTGGGATTATTTACAGAGGAGCCCTCTTTCTTGTGTTATTGGCAGCTGGGGTAGTAGTTTGCTAATAGAGATTCTTTATTAAAAGACCAAAATGAATTGTAGCTTGGTTGGAAAAAAGATTGGATTTGGAGATTGCAGATTTTTATTATAAAAGCAGATGAAATAATTTCTAATCATTTTTGCATGAAAACTTGAACCTGTGAGCTTTCTCATCGCATATAGACACCTCTACTTTGTCAGCCAGAAACAAATCATGATGACATAAGCAGTTGAGTTCCACTACGGGCACATCACAAACCACACCTTCCACCACACCATTCACTAAACAACAGCCACGTGAAAAATCAATGGGCACTAGGGGCACACCCCCAACCACAACTCTAACCACATCCCCTCTCTCATTTGCTACAGTGTACCGGGCCTAGGGCTGAGCATGGTTCGGTCCAAACCGAAAAAACCGACCGAACCGACCCGAACCGACCCGGAAAATTCGGTTTTATGAGTAGGGCGGTTCGAGTCGATTTGAAAACTTTTCAACCCGAACCGACCGAATATAGTGCAATAATACACATTCTGACCTCAAACCCTACCCGACTCGTCCCTAGAGAGTTAAATACTCAAACCCTAAACTTATTTTTTGAATCATTATGGGTTAAAAAAATATTATTATATCAGTGTTTATACTTCATAATCTCCTACTTTGTTGATATCTTTTTTCTTTCTTTAACACAGTTTGTTGTTTGATAAGAAGTTTGATGAAGTTAGAACCGAACAAACCGTACCGAACCGCACCGAACTGACTTGCAACAGTTCGGTTCGGTTTTGAATTATAGGCGGTTCGGTTCGGTTGTTCAAATTTTGGTAAAAACCGAACCGAACCGACCGTTGCACACCCCTAACCGGGCCCCACATGGGATTTAAATTTTTTAAAATCTCATGTGGGGCCCGATGTACTGTAGCAAATGAGAGAGGGGGTGTGGTTGGGGATATGTCCCTAACATTTTCCTATTTGATATCCCTGATGAAACCAATACTATGCATACAAGACCACCATTCTCTAAACAACAAGAGATGCTTCAACGCTATCCTTCTGATGTGGGGAAATCTTTTTACAGACAAGGATACTGATTTTCCTTGCAGGATACATGCTTGTATTCGTGTATGCATTGGTAATTAATAATAATAAATATGAATATGATAAAATATCATGCTTCTACAAACTGATTGTAATATAAAATTCCATAAAATCATTTCTTGTAATAATATATATAATCTACCGTGTGGATCTCTTTGTTCCACAAGGTTCCATCATCATCATGTAGTAAAACTTCAAAATAAAAGCACCTTTTTTTTTCTAAGCATGTATACATATCAGCCATCCCCCATTTCCAAAGTAAACCCACCCAAAAGAACAAATAAAACTTTAAGGACCCAAACAATTAAACTACCATCTCATGAGAGAAGCATCACAAGCTCACAAAAACTGCGACGGCTCAGAGGAAACAGCTATTCATATGTTTGGAGACTCTTCAGAGCCCTTCTCTTTAGCTTGTTGTACGCCTGAACAATTACCATTGCTGCTATTTTTAATGTATATCCTTGGCTTGGTACCTTTCTTCGTCTTCGACGGTGATGGCGATGGTGTGGGAGGTGATGACGACTGAGAACACGGGCGGCAATGAACTGGACTGCCGTTGGCTGGAGGGACCGGAAGATCTTCAGCTGTTGGCTCTACCCATGACAGGGGATTCACTGAACGATGTTCGTAGAGCATGAGAGATTTCGAAAGGTGGTAATAAGAAAAGTGTATGCTGCTAAAGTAGTAAACAGATAGGGATACCGGATATAAGCAGTCACCTTGTTCAGCAGAATGAACTGCCAAGAGATAGAAGTGGCGAGGCCCATAGATTACAATGTGAGATGAGACACACCACAAGTCTTATCTTTTGGTAGCTCGTTTAGAAACATTAAACACAATCTATGGACTAAACTACAATGCTGTTATATTAAAAATAAATGGGCAGAAAGATTGCATTTATGCACTGAACCTCAAGGAATGTGACAGAGTGAAAGGAAAGTATTGCACGCATGACGTATAATATCCATCAAAACAATCCCATGGTTAATATTAGCAAGACTATGGAACACATACATCCACCAAACCAATAGCATTGGCAGAAGGAAAATTTCTTGCATATTGAAAAGAAAAAAAGAGAGAATGGCATGTGAATATTTCAGAAGGATTCTATATGACACACATAAAAATTTCCTTACGAAAGATGAAATAAAAACAGCACACGAGTTGTGCATTTCTCCATCTCTCTTTGTTGTATAACCAGTAATCAATAATTCCATATTCGCTGTATCAATTGTCATCTATAGCATATGCATGCCCATCCATACAGACACGGGCATGTAAAAGTATACAAGCATAACCGCTCGTCAATAAGAAGGCAAGATATAATGCATCTGAAACATATTTATGACAAGATAACTGCTCGTCAGGAATATGACAAGATACATTACTACTAGAAAAGGAAATGAAATATGAGTTGTTATATTTATCATGTCTCTCTTTCAAGGTTCTCTATTATCAAGTACATAATTGAAAAAATGTAACGACAACCATACATATATTCATACAAACAAATGGGTACATTTTTCTCTACTAAGGTTCCCTGGCATCAAAATGCGTGCTCACAAAGATGTGAACAAATGTGAGAATGCATGCCTCTATATCTGTCTGCGCAGGCCGCAGACAATTGTCAAAGACTCAAGGCACTTACAAAAATATACACCAATTATGCACATAAAAGAGCATGTCAGGCCCTTTTCAAGATGAAACTGTATTATATGAATTGTCATCTTTTACTGTTTTCCTCTTTTGAGGCTGTAAGATGGATGTGGGTTTGAGCATACATGTAATGCTTGTATGTTAATTCGTGTGTGCATTCATCATACATGTGGGTTTGAGCATACATGTAATGCTTGTATGTTAATTCGTGTGTGCATTCATCATACATGTGTAGGTGGATCACAATAGATAGCGATGACTGTGTTGCCTTCAGGAGAACTTCCATGTCAGACTGGAAAATCACATTATCATGCCTACAAGTACTGATGATTTGTGGTCGTCCATATTGATACTTATTTTCTCTTTCTCCAAATAACGAGTTACTTAAAGCCAGCCATTAAGGTAAGCGCCAGTTAAGGGGAAGAAAAGGCACTAATCTGATGTTACTAGTAGCATAACAGATTCCACATTGAAGTTAAAAATAAAATTAATAAGAGCTTCATAGATATCTTACAGAGTAGTGTCTACAGATTCATGAAAGAACCATTTAACTTTTTTCATACCTTCTTCTGGTTCCAGAGGCATTGACAATCCAAGACCACCATCAGGATTTGATACTCGTGTAGGTCGTTTCCTCACATAGTTATCTTTCAGAGGCCTTGGGATCTGAAAAGAAAATTGAGATAATTTCACCCCTTGTTCATTGTACTCTGGGTGTTCTAGCAGGTGCCTGCAAAACCATAAAAGTCAATGTAAGTTATCAAGCTTGAACAAAACCCATAACAGATAGTGATCCGTTGTTCCACAAAACAAACTAAAGAGCTTGTTGGAAGATTCTTATAAGTCTGTTCACCAAAAACAGTCATAAAGTTTGTCCCACCAAACGACATAATGGGTTACCACAATGAGTGATCCACAGAGTTCATCTTGCTCTACATGTAAGGAAACGTATACGACAGAAGATTATGCAATTTGAAAGCTTCTAATTCATCTAAGAATGGAATTCATTTTTCAACCAATAGATGAATTAGTAATCTTCATAACACATAATTTTGTTTATATACATTTAATGATTTGATCAAGATGATCAGGATGTATCGCCAAGATGAACACGATGTATCGCCATTGTAGTAGCCTACAATGCAGTTTGGTAGGCTGGAGAAAAACTTTAAGTTGTTCATAAACAATAATAAAACAAACTCGAACATAAATCCATTCAATGGGACAAATACAACTACCAAACGCACATACATAATTAACTCTAAAAATATCCTCTGATGCCTCATACTGAATTTAAAATTTCTAGCCATACATTGCAAATAAATAGAAGATAATGAACATTTGGGCATACTTTTGGACTTCAACCATGGATCTCAGTTTCTTTCCAGATGGAGCAACATAGTACCTGAAAACAGAAAATTTGAAAAGCTTGTGTTAAAGGGCAGTTGAACTTGAATTACGGGCAAATATTCACTTTTACTGAAGTGGTGTCATAACGGAAACCCATTACTTTGCATTCACTGCAGAAATTAAGTTTCCTCATTGCACTCATAAACTCGACCTGTTAGTTAGAAAGGTGACAACAAAAGGAAAGAAAACAGTGGTGAATTTATTAAGGATGAGTATTTCTTTAAGCCAACAGCTTTGGTGCTTCAAAGGAGCACTGGCGGCAAATTTTGTAATTTTCTCCCTTGAAAATCTCTCTCACAAGCAGAATTTTAAGGATAAGGTAGTTAGGAGGTGTTCCACACCCAAAATCATAAATAACCCAACTTCTAGTAGATAAAAAAGATTATTTTGGGAAACAAATATGTAAAGAGAAATAACTTTTAACTTCAACTTCAAATGGATTTTTTAAAAAAGAAAAAGGTAAAGATAAATCAGATTTTAGGGCTTGTTATAACCTTCCCACTAATCATTCACGTACAGGAATTTCCACCAAGTTTTTAGATATGTTTCTTAATTAAACTAAGTGATTTAATCTATATTCAACTTTATTTTTTTTCCTTTGAAAAATTAACTATTTAATCTATCAAAACTCAGTTTCTTTTCCTATCAAGCAGTTCATTCTCCTTTCAAATATCCTGTCTTATTTATATTGGTTTGTGTTTAGAAGTTTTATATTTAATTTTGGCTGGCACTTTTATTCCCTTTCATTCAAAATAATTTTGAAAAAAGAAAATCTGGTCGCCTCGAGTGCATTTCTATTTCTTTGGGACCTAACAGAAATACTGGAGGGATGTATTAGGTAAAGCGATAGTTTTTGGAAAGAGAGAAATTTGGAGAGACAAAATCACCCCTCCTTTTTTCAGCCACTGTTTAGTATGTTTATCAATTTAATAATTCAAAAACTCCTATTATCGAGCACCAAAGCAAAACTCTTTCTTTAAATGTGAACCCTTGTGTTGCCTGATTAACTCATACATGTTGCCTATTATGCATGTTAGGAAATAAGTATATAAATGAGATTGATCCCAGTATTACCAATTTTGGGGAAAAGACGCTAGGGGCTGCTTTTTCAAGAGGAAAAGGAGAGAATGAATCTGAAGAAAAGGAAAGTAGCTCAGAATGCCATATCATTTGTGGGCCTAAATATATTGTCGAAGTACCTTTCTACAACGCCATCTGAAGTTGTTGTGAGGGTTGAGGGTTATGATTTTAGATTTTATAATTTATAACAAGCATCCCCCCCCCCCCCCCCCCGCCCCACCCGCCAAACCACCGGAAAAAAGAAAGTTATGTTGCCATGTGCCCTTTTGTGAGCTGAAACCTAGACTTAGGCAGCATTATCTATTTTTGTTTTTGATTGCTTTAAATTTACAGCCGGTAGGATTTGAACCTATGTTACTCTAATATCATGTGAAAGAACCCTTCGACCACACCAAAACTTCGAAGTCATGGTGAGGGTTGAGTTATAATTTTATACTAACATATACTGTATGTATCATTCTCATGATAAAAAATATCATCTATGGAGTTAAGACAATGTTCAATTTAATTAAACTGGTGTTATAGCCCGTGCGCAGCTTAAAGTTTTCCTTCCATTGATAAGTTTTCTTTACTGCAGTTTTCTACAGTTAGCCATAAACTCCAAAATGCCAAAGAAGGTTAATTTCACTGTCGCCACAAGTCCGCATTATAGTAACCTGCATATATCAAATCTCGAAAGTTGAGATCAACAACAAGTTACAAATCCGCCAGACTAGATGGTTTTTAAACACCCAATTAATGCAAGAGAAAGAGAAGTGTCATTTTCTCTTTCTCCCCCTTTCTTTTCCTTTGCATATCCCTACCTCTGCTTTTCCTATTCAGGAGATCCTAAAGCTTCCCCTTCTTCTCATCCAAATCCAGAATGAAAATAACCGCATCTTGTAGGCCATCAATTAGTGAGATTACAGCTTTGAGCTACAGTACATGCTAGCAAAGTGCGGTTTACATACCAGTAACTACAAGTTAACAATAACTAATCCAAACAAGTCCCTGAAGGCCTACAGAGAACTGCAATAAATGTTTCAAGGCTGACTCTTCATAACACCAACATGCCAGTACATATTCAAAGGTATGTGATTCTTAAATAAATGCAAAGGTGAAGTCTCGGTTAAGCTTTAAAATATGTGAACCCTTCTCGAGTTGTCCAAATCGATGTGACCAAAGATTAATCTTCTGTTCACAGGCCATGTCAGCAAAATGCTAAACTTGGAAATATTCAGAGATAGATGCTGTTGAGATATTAAATAAATGAAAAGACAGAGCTCCGGTTAAGCTTTACATTATTTGAACCTTTTAGAGTTGTCAAATTGACATGTCTAAACTTGAATTGCCAGCTCACAGGCAATGCCAGCCGAATGCTAAACTTGAAAAGGAATTAAGTAGATGATGAGATGTTTTTTCCCCTTTCTTCCACTAAATTTATAAACATGAAATACTGATTGAACTCCATAACTCCCCTAAATGTAACACCCGAGGAAGCAAAGACATACAGTCAAAGGATACGACAAAACATGGAGATGGAAATATAAACCTAAACAACTATGGACACACTGCCTGACCATGTGTGAATTTGCATGCACCCATATAATACACATTAAGCTGTTTTGTTTAAAGGGGGAAAAAGAAAGACATATAAAATCTTGATAAATAAAACCCATATATTTTAATCAAGTGATAAATCAAACAAAAACAATATTGAAGTCCTACCTAACTCATATAAAACAAGTATATGAAGTCTTTATATGCTTTCAAAGTGCCTGTGTTTTGTTAATTTAGCGTCTATGGCAAAGAATTGTTTTTATGTTTTTTCAAGAGACGTATGGATCACATATGGATCCATGACATCCAACGCACTAGGAATTTTTTAGGAAAAAAATGAAATAAAGCTCTAATGCACTATTTTTGTTTCTTAAGATCTAACATGACTACAGTGTGTCTGATACATGGCAAACATGACTACAGTGTGTCTGATACACGGCGTCAATGTTGAACATGTAAAGGTGTGGAATAAGAATCACTTGAATCATCTGTGCTTCATATACGTGAAGTGACCAACTATTGATGGATTACAATCAGAAGGTAAAATGCCTTCGATTAACAAATAAAATATGACAGATCCTAAATCCTTGCATTAGGAACTGACCAACTTGTTTCCATAAAGAATACAGAACAGAAAAGAAATGAAATGGTTCGACTGGCTTCACTGTGGACAATATATGATTGTGATATAATAATAATAATAATAAGACAATCTAACATCAGTGGACAAGAAATACCAGGTCTGCTCTCAATAACTCATTCCATAAGATTCAAATTTCAATCAAAGAGACCCAAGTTGTAAGAGTGGTAATTGGCTGCCTAACACAAAACACTCTTCCTTCAGTCATGCTTGTTTGGAACAGAGAGTGAAAGGATAGCACATCAAGCAAAATTGTGGAGGCATTCAATCAATAATGTATAATGAAATGTGAGGCTCAGCCTTCGTTTGTTCATAACATATTTTGTATATACTATTAGAAATCTGTCTAGTCATCTAAAAAACTATATTTTTGTAGTGTGGATCGACTCAAAAAATCATTGCCTTCATTCTCAAGTACTATGGAACAATAAGGGGCTATTTGTTTCATTACATCCGTGAGAATTCTAGTAAGGATTAACTGACAGTGGTTGGGTCTACTGCAATTTTTTGTCAGATTTAAATCCCACAACCGAATCTTCTGTTTGTTCCATCACTTTGGGAGCGGGAGGATCGAGATGGTTGAGCATTACATGTAGGAAAAGCGGGGTGTCAGAAACCTCTCACGAAGGGCAGGAACTTGAGAGATAAGTGAGAAATATGGACCCCACTTAATATTAAAAAATGACAAAGTTATATAAAACATCCTAGAAAACTCATGAAACATAAGAAAGGTACAATTTCTTTTAAGAAAGTCTAAAGAACTTTCCAAAACATAATATTATATCACATTTTAAGTACAATATCAATTATCAGTGGGGCCCACAAACATCTTTTCAATTTTACCCTTTTTTTACAAACAAACAAAGATTTTCACAATCTTTTTCCAAAACTAACTTTCCATCACACTATCCTACAAAACCAAACAAAAAATTAAAATTTAAGAAAATGTAGATTCCTTGGATTCATGACATTGGCATAAATCCAACATGCAAATCTTTCAAACCAAGCAGCCCCTAAGACCACAGACTAATACGTCATTGATGCTCATATTTAAGGAGGATTATGGTCGACAGAAAAAATTATTGACATTAAATTTGGTAAATCGCAAGTCTTTATTTGGCAAAAAGAACCAAACACAAGTGACTTCCAGTACTAGTACTTGTGTTTCTTTTTCCTACATCTTCATTAAACCACCCAAGACAATATTGTAATAGAGAATCTCAGATACTCTCCTTATAAAAAAGTTTTAACAGAGAGACTGTGTGCCAAGCAAATGACAATCATGGCAGCAATGCAGAAACATTTGTGTTTCATTTTCTCTTTTCTTAAATTGAGATAAATTGTACCCTATAAGACAGAAATTGATGGTCCATCACGTGACAAATTCTCAACAGCAATCACTCTCTGGAGTCCATCTCTGCTATGTACAAAGTCAGATGCATCCATCCACCTAAAACAAGGGGACTGTGTGCAAGATCATAATTGTCATGTACGAATCCACTACATTATGCTCTTTACCATGAACAAGGAAATAAACTTAGAAAATGCTTTCAAATATGTATCATCACAATTACAAGGGAAATGAAGAAGTAAATCTTCTGTATATCTGTACTGGTTTAAATTGGTTTATTTTTTTGGCTCAATATATAGAATCTTTCTTTTGTGTAGGTAAGCAAATAATAGGAAACGGAGAGCTTGTATGTCAGTGAAACTGATACCTTGTGCTGGGAGAAATTACCAAAAGAAGATCTGACTCTCACATGTAACTCCATATGCAACTAATGATTACAACTTCTCTTCAAATCTTACAGCTAGCCACTAAATATACTATTTTCTGTTCCTTGCTGAATGAACCATATAAAAATCAGAAGAGTAAAAAGTAAAATATAGCTATTCAAGCATCAGATTCAATTCCATGGAACATCCAACATCAGTTAAAACAGATAGCTAGTATCTGATATTGAATTTCTACTGTGGCAAAGTGAAAGACTAATTCTGAGCTACTGTAGAAGTAAAAGGAAAGAAGAAATGACCAAGAAACGAGAACGTGAAGACTTACACGTCTGCAAACCTGGTGCCCCCTTCCCCTCTAATTCTAAGCTGCCTTTCCCATCCACGCGGAGGTTGAGCAATGCTAGGCTTATCGATTGCCCAAAGTCTACTTCCATCTTGAGATATGTCTGCTGGATCGTCACAAGTTATATCAGGACGCCATGCACGAGCTTGCTGGCATGTAAAAGGTCTTTCCATGATGTGCTCACGTATTTCCTCATACTTTTCCTTTGTCGGGATGAGTCTCCATTTAAAACAATTAGCACACTGGACAGTGAATGCCCCAACAGACGGATATACCCGGCTAGAAGGATTTGATGTTATCAGTCTTTGGTTGTGCTCAGATACCGGAAGTGTGTTCTCGATTGTATTGATGGTATCAGGATTGTAAAGCACCAACTGGTTCGAACTATTACCAATAGATTCATCACCACCATTCTCTACATCACCTTCAGCTCTATGCAGTGCCCTTTTACGATTCTTTTTGGTAGGTCGGAGGGATGTAGAACATTCTTTCTTCAACAATGACGGAGAATCTTCAAGATTTACCCGAGTCTCGCTCAACTCTCTAGTGTCAACTGCAGCATTGTCAGATGAACTTTTGATAGATTCATCAGCATTGGCCTCCCCATTCACCTTAACAATATCCACCGGCTCTTTAACAAACAAATCCATAGGTTGCGGTAAGATAGAGCTTTCCTGTTGTAGCATTGGTGAAGCATCTTGCAAATTTGACTGCATTTGGTTCAACTCTGTAGCTGGATACCAAGGCATATTATCCCATTTAGATAAAAAGACTTCAAAACTACACACACAAATGATTCATCTTTCACAGGCTTAGCCTTCAAGAACAAGAAAGCATATGAAGTAGTTGAAAACAACTATCTAAAGCAGAAAGTCTATTCTCAGCCTGAATTTCTTTAACACATATTAATATTATTGTTTCACAGGCTTAGCCTTCAAGAACCAGTCCATATGAGAACTGGGAAATCATTCGGAGCCAAGTCCGAGTCCAAACTAAAGCAGAAAGTCTATTCTCAGCCTGAATTTCTATAAGTACTGCAAAAGATCAGTCAAGAAAATGATAAAGAACAATAAATAAAATGCAGTTTACGAGCCTTTTGCACCTTATTAAGGATAAATTTTCAACAGTTCGTTTATCAGTCTTTTTAATCCTCAAAAGTTGTATTACACTCTAGCTAGGAATTCCAAGGAAGTAATAAATCCTAGCACAATGTTTTAAAAAGCGGACTGTGGGCCCTCCTAAACCTAAGCGGTACTTAGGTTGTCCACCTAGGTCTTTGCAGCACCTGAGGAGCATGGACCGCTTATGCGGACTGCACCATTTAGGTCGCGATCGTGATTTCCTTTGTTGACGCCTCCGCATCCTCCAACCTCCTACACCCACTCCAAACACCTCATTCACAGACTCTGACCTTCAGCAAAACCCCTCTACCTCCAGTTAAACAATAAAATAAACCCACCTAGGCACCTAGGCGGCGCTTTCTTTAACATTGGCACTACACTTGCATGAGCACACTCAATTATGGAGCTTGCCGCAGTTTCTCCCTCAAAATGTTAGCTACATCAGTTCTTGAAGTCATGGACCTACATTACACCAAAGAACTTAGCCGGCCGATCCTACAAGGGTCTCTTCACTATTTAGAGTGTTACAAGCAATGACTACAGATGCGTTATTAGACAATAGTTTAAAGGATACATTTGCAAAAATCTCTACTTTAAGCAAATAAATCAAAAAATTTAGGAAGTAAATATTTGGTTTCTCAACAAATTGACAACTTGAGAGTGAATGTTATCACAAAAACTAGATTACACGATCTGATATCTTACTAAAAAGAAGAAAATAATGATTAACCACAACTGCAGGAACAACAGGTCTGGGGGAAGAATCGCGGAGGCAACTTACTGACCAGTGGCTCTGGCTCACTGATAGTCCTCAGAAGGATAGAATGTAACTAGTAACCACTCAACAGCATCTTCCACTCCTTCCACTCCCTCCCTGGCCCCATAAAAAAACTCCAAAAAAATAGTCTGATGCTGGATTAAATATGTTGCGGTAAGATACTCTAGAAGATCAGATCCATTTAGCTGACCCAGTAGATGATTAGACATGAAATTTTAAATAAATGAGTCAACCAACATAACAAGGGAACACCTCGCCATATCTGATAATCTGATTTCTGGTAAAAACCTAAGTGGTGACCACATACACCAGTATATACTCCAGGCAAGCCCGCTGCACATATGGGTTCAATGTTCAATTATATGAAAATCAATTAAGTTTCTGTTGTTAGTTATTTCGTTATCAAATGCAAGCATTTTGTACTTATGCATGGACATGGACAAATAAATACACAATGCATGCATATTCTTGCCATGCATATGAAAATCACATGCATAAGTCACACACATACACCTCAAAAAAAAAAGGTGCACACATGCACATAAAAACCTGCTTGCAGAAATACATATAAAATCTAGTAATACGTATTTACATATACATCTTTTCTGGGTATTAGAATTATGTGGTTTTCTTCATGCCAAACTAAACATCCAAGTCTCAAAAATTCAATGATGAGTGACGTGACTCTTTAGTCATATTGTCCTCACTTCTACAGGAAATTTGATGAGCTGGTATTGTATATTTGTATTTCTAGTTGAAGTCCACTGATTTTTAAATGACTTATATAGCCAAACAGCTTACATACTCAAATTCTGCACCAAATGTGATTATAGTTTCATGACGATAGCTTATAGACGAGCTTGACGCCCATTTTACGTACTCATTTATCATTGCAGATACGAAGCACTATTCTAAGCAAGATATCACCCTTCCATCATAAAAGATGCATTCTTCAGCATAAACTTCCAGAGATCAATCTCTGTATCCTAGTCTAAAGCCAACTCTAGAACAACAATTAGTAGTAAACACTTCTATAGCGTCAAATATTAATACTTTATAGCATCACCAATTCCTATTTCTCATTAAAAACATCGACAAGTTCATTATTTGCCAACATTCCAGTGATTCGACAATCAACACGGCCTAAAATTGTCCATCGTCAGTACACGCAACTACTTTTTCTGATCGAAAAGAACTATGCTAAAATCATAACATGCAAACAATGAGAGGTTAACAAGGATCTGACCGCAAGTCGATAAGCACCTTCAAAAGATCCGATATTTTCGATGCTCAGAGATGAACAATGTCCATCCCACCACCAGCCACCTAAAATCGAAAAGATGAAGACACAAGAGTGATCATTCCAAAAGTAAAATCTTGGAGAAAAAAAAAGGTTGGAAAAATCGACAACACGCAATCCCAATAACCCCTAAACGTGCTAATTTGACAAAATCGATGGCAGGAATCTCACAAAAGATTCAAGCATGCAATCAGCGGATCGTTAGAATCGATAAATCGAGCTGAGATCTGAGGATTACTTACGCTTCTTTGCAAATATTTGATGAGGAGAGAGAAAGCAAAGCAATCGTCGCTCTCCTCTCTCTCTTAGAAATGTAGCGGGACGCGTATCGGATCGGCCGATACCGAAACGGCGTCTAGGATTTTTAATAGAAGGACGTGGATTTGATCGGACTGTCCAAGGGGAGGAACGCCAAGGGAAGAAAGCCAACGTCAGCAAACAATTGTTGTTTGCTGTTCTGCTGTGGGATGAGCTAGGGATAATTTGTACGCTTGTTTTGACCTTAGATTAATTAGATCTATATATTCCACATATTAATATTATTGATTCATTTTTTTTAAATGGATTCATATATGTTTTTTCCTTTGTTTTTTTTTTCCAAATCAGATAAAGATTCATATATGTTGAACACAATCGCAAACGACATACATTTTTCAAAATTCAGCTATGCCTGCTAAATATTGACAATCGCACCGATCATGTTATAGCTGGTTTTTGTTATGTTTCACTCTCTCTATGACTTTTGTGATCTCTGTCCTATCTATCGATATTATTTTCTTCCTCTGACTATTT